CTTAAGAGATAATAAATTTTATATATAATAATGTACGAAATGCGGTCATTTCCATCTCACCTGAAAGGAAATAATTTATTATTATTAAATACCAAAAACACTTGAAAAATTGATTCGGAAACTTAATTATTTAATATAACTAAAAAATCATATTTGAATGGTGGCAATGACGAAAAGATAAAATGCAATTATTATTTAAATAAAAAAAAAAAGGTTGGCTTCCTAATTTATAGTATACTTTTTTTAACTATTCAACGAAACATTTTGTCGTGTCATAAATATTCCTTTGATATATTCAATTGCTTATATAATTGGTGACCTCCCTGTATTTTTTTTTATTTAAAAAAAAAAGATGGAATTTACTTCTCAAAATGTTCCTTAGATTCTTATATTACTTCGAAAAAAAAAAGCATTTTTCACATACCAAATTTGACTCGTATAAGTGGCCTCATTATGAAAATCCGATTCAACTAACGGGCCGATGACGTTATATTCCAAATCCCTGAACTCGTCTCCATAGTTAATCCAATTATCAAATTTTTGATATAAAGTATAAGCATTGGGTCTACTTCTAATATCATGACTCCAACAATTATGCATTAAACTTAAAAACCACTTAGGAATTTCATCGTCAAAATAAAGTGTTGGTCTAAGCCCTTTAATAATTTCTCTGGTTAAACTAGCATTATGAGCTTTATCATGAAAAGGATGTCTGTTAGTTGAGACATAATACATAATAATTCCAAAACTATAAATATCGGCTTTTTTGCTATAAGGTGAACCTTTAAAGATTTCTGGTGCGATAAAAGGTATTACGCCGATAAGATTTTTAATTTTTCTCGTATTTTCTTCAGGTCTACAAAATCCTAGATCACCAATAAAATAAATTAAAAAACAAGCAAAATCAAAAAAAAAGTTAAAAAAAAAAAAGATTTCAGAAACAGAGGGAAATAAAATAATAAATAAAAAAAATTAAAAAATAAGCAAAATCGAAAAAAAATCTCAGGAGAGGGAAAGGAAAATAAAATAATAAAAATAAAAAAATTAATTAAAAAATAAAAAAGATAAAATTAAACTAAAATAAAAAAATAATAGGAAAAGATCAAAAAAAAAATAAATAAATAAAAATTAAAATACTATTTCAAATCAACTCGAGTTAATTTGAGTCAATTTGAGTCAAGTTGAATTTAAATAGAGTTGAGTTAAATATTTAACTCAACTTGAATTTAGCATGACTCACAAATCATCAAGTCAAAAAAACATAAATTCAATTTGATTAAATTTGACTCAACTTATCTGATTCGTAAGTTAACTCGACTCATCTGAAACTCTACTAGAGTTCTGAATGAGTTAAGTCAAGTTGAGTTTAAAGATCAACTCTATTCAACTCATTTTTTTGAGTTAAATCGAGTCAAAATTTATTTTATAAAATCTTTCAACTTAGATATTGTTAAATACCTAAAATATGTTGATGAATATCTTTTAATCATTGCTAATTAAAAAGGTTAATCTTATTTCAAGTTTTCTATAAAAGAGACCATAATTTAATATAAAAAATTAGATTTTATAATTTTATATTATTAGATATATATAAAAAGAAGATTTTATTTAGATTTTTTTAAAGAAAGATTAATATTAATTTAAATAAATCAATAAATAAAAATTATAAGTTTGATTAAGTATTTTATATTGAACAAGATTGATTGAAAAGGTTTATAAATAAAATATCAAATATCACAAATCATATACATAAGAGTTTCAAAAAACTAGGTTTCTTAAAGGACAACCAGCACAATAATAACTCCTAAATAAGGTCTTTTGCTTTCTATGTTTCTTTCAGTTTCAAGTCATTAAATTATCTTATTAATTACTTGGAAGTCTAATATTAAAAAGGAAATGAGATATATGTAATTTTTTATCATTTCAATCAAATAATACTAATTGATCATGTATAACAAAAACAATAGAAATTTTAAGTAAACCATTACAAAGCTTTAATTCCGATAATGCTAAATTAGAAAGACTATGAATAATGATTTGGTTAATTAATAGATATTGGAATTTTATAACGGGTATTTATATTGCGGATAACTAATCAATATCTAATCAATATTATACGCTAAGCTATTGATGCAAAATGTGGTAAACAAAATCATGGTCTTATAGGGATGTGCAAATAATTAATAAAAATCGAGTATTATTTATGTAATGTTAAATTCGGGTAGAATGATTTTATTGAAAGAGATAAATTTGGTAGGATTAAAAGAACACATCGTTC